TTAAAGAAGATCCAGGAAAAGAAAAAAGTACTGAAAGAAAAATCTGAGAAAGAACGTGAGCTGCGGAGGGCTGCTGGTGGGGAGCAGGAACCAGCCAATCTCTTAGCAGAAGAGAAGGATGAAGACCTTCTCTTCGAGTAACCCAGCACAGTTGTTGATGGAGCAGGGGTCCCAGAATACACAATGTCTGCTTGCAATATGAGTCAGAACGTGTTGCCTCAATGATACTTAACGTGGCTTCTCAGTTGGTGTGCAAGTCTTGAGTTGAACGGATTGTGGATTTCTCCTGGGACATTAGAAATTTGGGAACTTGACTGCGGCATGGGAGTAAAAGGAGAGACACGTCAGGTGCTTCACTGTCAGGAAAGCCTTCTTTTGCACGTTTCTTCACTTGGTAGGAATGACTGTCCATAGCTGAGCTTTTTGCAAGATGGCTCTGGATTTGCCCAGTCAGATTCCTCTTTAATTGCTCCCCTTGCTAGTTCACGCAGAAAAGGTTACTGAGAGAGGGAGATGCATGTCGTGTTCTTTACTGCTGAACTATTAGTGCTCAAGTTATTTAAAGCGGGCACTGGCAGAGCCGAAGTCAGATGTCAGTAAAGAAAACTCTTGTTTTCTAACCCACTGATGAAATCCACCGTCTTCTGTGATTTATTTTTGTTGCACGGTTGTTACCGTTGGCCTAAGACATCTGTGGTTTTAATTAGAGGTTCTGCCAACTTGTATACTGTCTGTGCTAGAAACAAGTAAAAATTTTAAATGTTAAATATCTGGTGTCTGACTCAAGCTGCTAGAAGATCGTGCTCTTAAAAGCTTGGAAACTGGCATGTTGATTTCAAAATAAAACTCTCTCTCCTGGCCCCAACTTCAAATCTGCACTGGGCACACAGGCAGACACCTTCCAGCCTGTGCCCACATGCAGTTAACCTTTACTGCTTTAGGTAAGTACCCAAGGAGAAGCAGCTCTCTCCTGCCGCAAATACAAACTTCTTAACCATCCAGGTATATGGTGCTCCAAACCTTCACGGCAACAAGTAGGTTGGCAAGGAGGGCAGCGCTGAATGTGCAGTACAGTCCATCCTTGCTGGGATTCCTCATGCTGGTATTGGGACTGGGGCTGTCTAACATCTTCATCAGTGACATCGACCATGGGATTGAGTGCACCCTCAGCAAGTTTGCCGATGACACCAAGCTGCATGGCGCAGTCGACACGCTGGAGGGAAGGGATGCCATCCAGAGGGACCTGGACAGGCTGCAGCGGGGGGCCACTGCCAACCTCATGGAGTTCAACAAGGCCAAGTGCAAGGTCCTGCACCTGGGTTGGGGCAATCCCAAGCACAACTACAGGCTGGGTGGAGAGTGGATAGAGAGCAGCCCTGAGGAGAAGGACTTGGGGGTACTGGGGGATGAAAAGATGGACATGAGCTGGCAGTGTGTGCTGGCAGCCCAGAAAGCTGGCTGTATCAGGAGAAGCATGGTGAGCAGGTGGAGGGAGATGGATATTGACTGGTTGGAGCGAGTCCAGAGGAGGGTGAAGATGCTCAGAGGGCTGGAGCAGCACTCCTATGGGGACAGGCTGAGAGAGTTGGGCTTGTTCAGCCTGGAGAAGAGAAGGCTCCGGGGAGACCTTATAGCACCTTCCAGTACCTGAAGGGGCTGACAAGAAAGCTGGGGCAGGGAAGGGAGTGGCACTTTTTACAAAGGCCTGTAGTAACAAGACAAGGGGTAAGGGGTTTAAACTGAAAAAGGATAGATTTAGATTGGATATCAGGAAGAAATTCGTCCCGGAGAGGGTGGTGAGGCACTGGAACAGGTTGCCCAGAGAAGCTGTGGATGCCCCATCCCTGGAAGGGTTCAAGGCCAGGCTGGATGAGGCTTTGAGCAACCTGGTCTAGTGGAAGGTGTCCCTGCCCCTGGCAGGGGGGTTGGAACTAGATGGTCTTTAAGGTCCCTTCCAACCCAAACCATTCTATGATTCTATGTCCAAGGCTGATTCAGGGATCCTAGGAGTGGCTGATAAGCAGGCTGTCACTGAACGCTGCACAGTTTGAAGAACTGTTTTGCTAATGACACTGGTTTGCAATTGACAAGCTGAACGCATGCTGTAGTGGCACTAGTACACTGCCTCTAGTACGACTCATCACTTCCAAGGTAAGCATCTTGTTTTAAAGATGATCCAGCACTCATCTGCAGATGGCAGGCCAAGTGCAAGAAAATTTCTAGCAGCACCTTTACAGAGTCATTTTATATTTGTACGAAGCACAAGGCCATTTCTTTTCTGTTTTGAAGCTGAAAGCAGCACAGCTGAGTAACTCCATACTTGTAGCATACAGGTCCAGCTTGAGAGAGAAACTGTAGATGTGAGGACGTGTTACGTCTCCCACCGGACGCATGGTGTCAGAAGGAACAGAGAACATCCTCTGATGGCTCACGGCATCTTTCACACAGCAAAGTGGCAGAAAGAAGACTCCCAAGGTCCACTATAAGAAGTAAAATTGTACAGTGATTTATTTTAAATCTAGAAATATTTTACATTTTTACATTAGTGTGCAGTTCATGATGTCTCAAAATACAGAGTGCAGATACATGTATAAAAGTACAGTGTGGGGCTAACCACAGGTCTCAGTAAAATTACCTTAATTATTTAAGGCATTAAACCCCCCATCTTATATTTTCAAAAGTCACATATAATTACATTAAAAAATTCTTTTATGCAATTCAGCTAATGTTTATTAATTAAATCTGGACTGGTAAAAATGCAGATACCCTCGTTTCGGTCTGATACGGCTCACTACAAAGCCTGTGGTACGGTTGAAGAGTTTCGCCAGCGAAGTCTGCCTAGTCTCTCACTCTCAAGGGAATTAGCACACATTCTTCATTAAAGGCGGCAGAGTAATTTCTCACACAAGGTAGTTGCAGGTCCAAACTGGCAGCAGATGGACAGCCAGGTGCATTTCTCAGTGCTGCTCAAG